GGACTTCAAGGAGATCCAACCAGTCCATCCTAAAGGAAATCAGTACTGAATAATCCTTGGAAGGACTGATGCTGAAGCTGAAACTCCAATCCTTTAGCCATCTGATGTGAAGAACTGCCTGATTTGAAAAGAGCCTGATGCTGGGAAAGGTTGAAGGTGGGAGGAGAACGGGATGACAGAAGATGAGATGTTTGGATGGCATCACCTACGTAATGAACATAAGTTTGAGTAGGCTCCAGGAATTGGTGATGGACAGGGAATCCTGGCGTGCTGCAGTCCATGGGGTTGCAAAGACTTGGACACGACTGAGCGAGTGAACTGCACTGAACTGAACTGTTTATAATAGTTTTACTTAAAATAGCCAAAACTTGGTGGGAAAAGAAGTGATTGCTCAACAGATGAACAATTTATGTCTGAACAATGCAGAAGTAGCTTAATAAAGGAATGAACTGCTGATACACTTAAAATTTGTGAATATGAAAACATTATGCTTAGAGATCAAAGATGACACAAACAGATGGAGAGATACACCATGTTCTTGGATTAAATGAATCAATATTGTGAAAATGACTCTACTACCCAAAGCAATCTAGAGAAGCAATGCAATCCCTGTCAAGTTACCAATGGCATTCTTCACAGAAGTAGGACAAAAATTTTTACAATTTGTATGGAACCACAGAAGAACCCGAATAGCCAAAGTCATCTTAAGAATGAGAATTGAATCTGGAACAATCAGACTCCCTCACTTCAGATGATACCAGAAAGCTACAGTAATCAAGACAGTGTGACAGTGGAACAAGAACAAAAATAAAGATCAATGGAGGTGATACATAGAAGAAGACTTTGATGTCTTCCAAAGAAGACATACAGATGGCCAAAAACCCATGAAAAGATTCTCAACCTCACTCACTATTCTGTCAGGACTAGAGAAATGCAAATCGAAACTCCAAATGTGGTATTACCTCACACCAATCACAATGGGCATCATCAAAAAATGTACAATGCAGGAGGGGATATAGAGAAAAGGGAACCCTCCTGGGCTCTTGTTGGGAATGTACATTGATACAGCCACTATGGAGGGCAGTATGGAGGTTCGTTAAAAATCTGAAAATAGGATTACCATATGACACAGCAATCCCATTACTTGGTAATACCTTGAGAAAACCAGAATTTGAAAAGACACATGCACCCTACTGTTCATGGCGTTGCAAGGAGTCAGACAGGACTGAGCAACTAGCATAGTGTATATGGCCATTTTCATTCAAAATAGCCATCACACTATGTTAATTTCAGAAACTTTTATCACCTCAAGATGAAAACTAGGGACTTCCCTGGTGGCCCAGTGGTTGAAAGTTCACCTTGCAATTCAGGGGGCTCAGGAACTGGAATCGCACATGCCATGAAGCAACTGGGTCTACGCACCACAGCTACTGAGGCCTGACCACTCTGGAGGCCACGCGACACACCAGAGAGCCTGTGCACCACAGCAAGGGGTCTGGGAAAATGCAGTGAAGATCCAACATGTAGTAGGTAAGACGCGATGAAAACAAATACATAAAATGAAAGAAAAGAAACATCATACTTAAGACTGTTTAAAATTTCAATATTTTTAGAGAAAGATTTTTAAATTCTAAGGTGCTCTACAATTTTTGAAAGGTTCACACATGATTTCACCTAATCTCCTATATTCCCATAATAAACTTTTTTCTCCCCCACCCCTATATTGTTCTCTCCACCACTATATTTTATAGATATATAAAATGGTGAACTCTGAAAAATAAACGCAAAACCCCCATAAATTGATGTAGTGTGCCATCTTAACAGGGCAGGGTGATCCTTGACTTCCCTAGTGATTAGTGAGGCTGAATATCTTTAACTTGCTGGACATTTGTGTGTCTTTGGAGAAATGTCTATTTAACTTCCTTGCGCATGTTCTGAACAGGTTGTTTATGTTTGGTTTTAGAAGTTTGCAATGTTAAAGGTATAAATCCCTTATAAGATGTGATTTTATCACATTAGACTTAATGTTGGGGTTGCTGAGCATGGTCAGTGGTCACTATGGACTCGGCCCCACCACCATGTTCACACCCCTGTACTCACAGAAACATACATGGTTCACTACAGAGAACTTTCTGGGGCACTTGTGTATACTAGAAACACAATGGCCAAATGCGAGGAAAAGACACAGAAAAGGACATCTGCCTCTGGGATGCTCCACAAATCACCAAAGACCTGAAGCCCTTGCCACTTGGGATTTTGAAAAATGCTTCTTAATATGTAAATGGAGAGAGGAGGCCCACTGGGGCTATTTTGCATCCACTGGGAAAAAAAGTTGGATCCCTGACTCACAAATACCATCAAAGCAGTTAGACACATACTAAGAACCAACACTGAAAGGAAAACTTGACACATTTTACAACAACTTTTGATGAGTGAATATCTTTCTTTTTAACTGAAGTATTACGGATTTTTAAAGAGTTGTTAGTTTAAGGTATACAGCAAAGTGATTCAAGGATTCAGTGTACCAGGTGCTTCCTTGGACACCATTCACTCCATTTGTGGGGCCCCTGGACCATGCCCTCTACTCAGAAGAGGCAATAATCCTGAAAACACAGAGCAGCATGTGGTGGTGCTCCTGGGTATTTGTTGACTGACCATATTCTAACATGACAGACAAAAAATCCTAGATGCTAAGAGGGGATCTCCAAACCTATTTTCAAACAGGAGGACTTGCTCCCTGGAATGTTGGTGCATGAAACAGGGCCTGGAAAAGGAAGAGGTGTGTAATGAATATTTTGTCTGCAGATGACAAAGAGGTGTGTAGAGAGGATGTGAAGGCTCCTACCAGGAAACTGAGCACATGGACACAGTGACGGGACCCTCAGCCCTGCTCTTGGTGTATCGGACTGTCTCCACAACTCACACAAGATGAGCAGCTACCACGGGTCCGGAGAGTAAGGTCACATGACCTGGACCAGACCAATCGGTGTGTTCCATCCTCCATGGCCACTGTGATTGGCTCAGGACTGGGGCAGGGCCCAATCCGGGCCCAGGGACGGGCCTCACGCTAGAATCAGGGGGAAGATAGGTCTAGTTCTGTCGGTAGGGGTGTGGCCAGGTGACGTCAGACTACAGCAGTGGGCGGGGAATGAGGTCAGCCTGAGGCCGTTGGTGACCTTCCTGCTCCCATCAGGCCAGAGCCACCGACCTGAGGATGAGGGCGCTGCTGAGCCCAGGGGTTGAGAGCGCCCGTTCCTGCTGTGGTCCCGGAGCTCCACCTGAGACCTGAGGGAAGCCGTCTGCCTGTGAGTCCTCTTCTGCTTGTCTGTAGCTTCTTTGAACCCCGCTGGGTTTTCTGTCCAGGGGGCTAAGTGGAGATCCTGGAAATGCAACTGTGTGGGTTTTGGCTGGCTTCAGGGAAGAAATGCCAGATGCCACTGGGAGACTGCAGTTATTCTGGATTCAGGCGATATCTCTAAGGGCTAGATATTAATTCTCGGATAACCCAAATTAGTCTTCAGAGGATTAAGATAGCAACGTGCTAAGGGAGCAATAGATGTCCTCTTTCTAGGGCATGAGACTGGCGCTCAGAGAAGGGGGTAACGTGGCTACAGCAAAGAGATGCGTACCAGACAGAACCCCCAGAGCCTGCCGTTTGAACTCAGGGAAGACACTGGTGAGGCTTTTATCTGTAACAGGGGCTAAGGCACTCAGCCCACACTAGTCACTGTGGGGACCTGCCTTGGTAAATGCCATCTGGTAGCTTTGAGACTCACAAAAGCAGTTTGCAGTGAAGAGAGGAAGGGCACCTCCCTTTATCCACCCCACCACACCCTCCAGATTCCCACATACCCTGATCTCTTTCTCTTGGTTTCTGAGGCAGTTACAGAGTCGTGCTCACGCGACCACATTTGCTGTCTACTGTTCATGAGCTGCCATCTGGGGCTGCTACAGGAGAGGCCAAGGGCCTTTGCTCCCGAGTACCTCTCTTCCTTCGGACCTTGGGGGCCCTACTCCCCACTTGCACTTGCACACCACAGGCCTTTCCAAGTATTGTGGGGACCCTCACTCAGTTTGTATCCCATTGTATCCATTGCTGTCCTTTCAATGCCTCCCTTGAAACTCAGCTTGTGATCTCCTTTGTAGCAGTGTGGCCCACCTGGCTTCTACTGGATGCTCAGAGCTGACAATGAAACAACAGCTCAGGTCTGACAGCTCAGAAGCTCTGTAAAAAGGGACCTCACCCTTCACAGTGCAGAGGGTGTAGTAGCCTCCAGGGTTCTGGAACCAGTTCTTGGGCAAAACTGACTCCACAGGGGTTTTAATGTCTGGGGAGGGTTCTGGAGATTATGACTATATTTCCCAAAAGGTCTTCATTTAGCCCATGATATCTTGAAAGTACCTACACTGTCCTTTCAGATACCCAAAGGCTACTTCAAATGAAATAAAAATTCTCAAATGTAGCCTTACAGTATGTAGGGAATCAGAAAAAAACTACTTCTATCATTTTGCTATAGTCTTTGATTGGGGACACCCAGAATATAGGAAGAAATGAAGAAAGGAAAGGATTAAAGTTTGTTCAGGATCGGGGGAATGGACAAACAGAGATGTGAACAAAGGATTTGTTGGGAGCTGGGGCAGAAAGATTGAAAGGGTCTGAAACTACAGAAGGGTGATGGTTACACAGCACTTTGAAGGTCCTGAGTGTTCCCAAACTGCAACAATTTTGAATAATTTATTTGTTAAAACTTAACCGAAAAAAGCACATAAAGCCATAGAACACATAAAAGAGCACAAAAAAGTTACATAAAATCCAAATGAAAAGACCCTCAAGGGAAGGGAACTCAATCTCCCCTGGGTGGGGAGCGAGTTGATGGCATCCATGGGGAGCAGACAGGGATGGAGGCTGCAGAGCCAACCATGCCCCTGGACGAGGAGTTTCCAGAAAGGGCTCTGGGTCTCTGTCCAGAGCAGGGGCCCGTTCTCCCTGCAGCAGTTGGTCAGTCATCGTGGGCATCTGGGTCTTGGGCAGGAGCCAGGGCAGGCTCTCCCTGCAGAGGTGGTAACTCATGCCCTGACTCGGGTTCTCTTGCCAAAGCCGGAGCAGGGGCAGGTGCACGTGGAGGTGGACGTGCTTGCTGAGGGGGTGGGACATCGCTGCCTGGGGCTGGGGATCCTGCACGTGTAGCAACCACCTCTGTAGGGACAGGTCTTGGAAGTGGAGCCCGGTTGAAGGCGAGCAGCAGAGCTGTGAGAGAGGAAAAGATTACCGAGAGCCTGGCCTTGGCGTGTTCGTATCTGAGGACAGAAAGGTTCCCTGAGATTCCCAAAGAATACCCAGCATAGAGGTCTTCTCTGCAGCCTACAAGATGGTTTCTCCAGGCCCAGCCCCAGCTCTGGGGGACTCCTCCCTGTGTAGCTCAGCACCCCTCCCCACAATCACATTCACAGCCCCAGCCTCCTCACCTCTGTGCTCTGCCGTGCTGCGCTCCAGGTCCTCCCGCTGCCTCAGAGGCAGAGGTTCTGGGGCTCTGGGTCGGAGCCGGGTGTGCTGAGCCCCATGGCAGGCTGAGACTGGACCCCGAGGTGTGTCCCGGGTGGTGTCTGGGCAGCAGGCCTTCCCTGCTTCCTCTTCATTCCCGGTTGGGCTGACCCCTCCGTGGGCACACTCTCCTGGAGCCTGCACTGGGCCTCCCGGGCAGGGGGGTGGTGCTCTGACTCCTCCCATGGGAGGGTGGATGGGGTGTCCCCCCTCATCAGCCATATCTTGTGGGAAGCTCTGAAATGACAGTGACCGTCAGGCCAGCCCTGCTTGGAGTTTACCGAGCTGGGCCTGGCAGTATGGCTGCTGCTTCTGCCTGCGCGAACTTCTGCTTCTGAAATGAGCAGAAATGCGTGTCTGCTCAGATACCCAACTGGGAGGATGGAGGACCCCCCTCCCCCCGCCCCGAGGGCGTGAGGTCAGCCTAGGCAGCCGGCGGTGCCTGGACTCTCCTCAGTCCGCCCAGCCTGCTCTCCCCTGGGGTGTGGACAACACCGGCCCGCAGGCTCTGACCCCACATCCGCCTGGGCTTGCTGGAGGCCAGCACACCCCGAGAAGCCCCCTTCTACACTCACAGGGAAAGGACTCAGGGTGACCCGGTGGGATGGCAGAGGGGACCTGGCCCGGCCGGGGGCTCCCGTGTTACCTTCCTGTTCCTTCGGGCAAAGGGCCAGAGGCCTCCTCGGGGGGCCTGAGCCAGCATCGACAGCGATCCCACACACTTCCTGTGAGCTCTCCTGAGGCTCCAGCCTCTGGGCAGGGGCAAACAGCAGAACATCTTGGCACCAAGTGATATGGCTTTGGGTTCCTCTCCACTGTGGAGACCTGGATACCTGGGTTCTGGGTTCTGTTGGTTTCTATTTCCGGGAAGTGACATTTTTTTGTGGTTCGTTGCTGAGGTCCCTTACACAAAGCTCCCCAAGGGAACCTCGGTGTTTCTGACTGTTCACCCACACCCTTAGGCCACGTGCGGGCACAGTGACACCCACACCGCCCATCCCTCGGCCTTGGGGAGGCCTGGGTGCCTCCAGTGGCAGAGCTCTGAGGACACAGCTGCTATCAGACCAGGCTCCTCTTTCTCATAAGTGACGTGGCCTTGGACAAGTATGTGCCCCTCAGGGCTTCTCCCGTCTCTCCATCTGCAGAGCGGGGGTCATTCTCCCATCTCCTGCCCAGGTCTGTTGGCCTAGGAGCAGCTCCAGTGCCTGTTCAACCCGTGGGCTGGTGTCACATGGAGCTCATGCACTGACTCTTCACAGAGGAAGGATTCAATACAGGGCTCACCTAGCACAGAATGAGGCAGAAGCAGGCCTTGATGGGCTTTGGGACCTAGGAAAAGGCAGTCCTCTCACCTGCCTAACTATTTCAAGTTCCCCCCAGCCCCCCACCAGTGGGAGGTCTGAAGGTAAGATTCAGACATTGCCCCCTCTAATCTACAACAACCTTCATCGGTCCTCCTGTTCCATTGAGATTCTGGCTTAAGTTTCCCATCTCAGCCTCTAGGGGAGGGCGAGGCTGCCCCTCCAATGGCTCCCAGCATTCTCTCTTTTACTCTTGTCACCTTTTACTCTTGTCATTTCCCCCCTTGCAGAGTGAATGGGCCCTGTCACTGGTTGAAACCTCAAGATTGATTCATGCAAATTCTGTGAAATCTTCTCATTTCCTCTTTCTTAACCTTTCTAAGTTCAGTCTATCAAGTTTTCCCTCCCTGACTGTCTCTCCTGTGGATGCATGCCTATGAATATATATTGCATGTCTATTGTTAGCCTAGCATTAGGTTTTAGGGTTTAGCTTTCAGTGAGAGAAAGGATTGGGATTGGAGTTGCTGTGAGGGGAAGGGATAGGGGTGGTGCTATTGTTTCTGGTTCACTGAGTGGTGTGAGTTCTTAGTCTGTTTTTCATATGAACCCCTCATCAGAGACACCACTTGCAAATAGTCTCTCGTGTTCAGTTTTCCAAGTTTTTGATTTGTGAATGCTTAGCTTTTCCGTTGCAAAGCTCTTCAGTTGGATGGAAGCCCCTGGTGTTCTTTGGTTTCCTGTTTCCCTTACTCGAAGAGACCCATTTTTGCTTCCCGCACCAAATGTTAAGGAGCTCTGATGTGGTGGAGCCTTCGGCACATGCTTATTTCGAGGAGTTTCAAACTTCCCTTGTGGCTTATCCTGTAAAGCATCCACCTGCAATGTGGGACACCTGGGTTCGATTCCTGGGTTGGGAAGATCCCCTGGAGAAGGGAAAGGCTACCCACTCCAGTATTCTGGCCTGGAGATTCCAATGGCCTGTATAGTCCATGGGGTTGCAGAGAGTCGGAGACACTGAGTGACTTTCACTTTCACTCATAACTTCAGGCTTGGGGTTGATGTGTTTCACCGATTTTGAGGTGCTATGAGAACAAAAGCCAACGTGATTCTTCAGATGTAGCCATCCAGCTTTGCCATGGCCCTTTCTTGAACAGTCTTTTGTATTCCTATTTGCATATTCTCCTCTCCTTTGTAGTAGATGAATTGACCATAGAAGCTAGGGTTTATCTCTTGGACTCTCAGCTCTATTGTATGATTCTGGATCTGCATGTATGTGTGACCGACACCATACTGTCCAGATGATCCTAGTGTTGCAGTCTAGTTGGCTATCAGGCAGTCTGGTAGGCCCGTATCAGGCCTTCTTTCCTTAGACTGTACAGACGATTTAGGTTCCTTTGTGTTTCCATACCCATTTTGGAATTCCTTGGTTTAGTGCCCCGAAAATATCCCTTGGCCTTTTGAGAGGAATAACATGGACCGGACCCTCTGGATTGCCTTCGGGGGTGTGACATCATTTTACCAATAGGAATCCTTGCAATGCATGAGCTCAGCTTATTTTCCTCGGATCGTGTGGACTTCACCTTCTTTCATCCATCTCTTGCAGTTTTCTGAGAACAGGTCCTTCCCTCCTGGGTTAGATGGACTCCTGGGTATTTCCTCTTGGTGTATCTCATTGTCAGTGGGGTTGATATTTGCCTTGTCATTCTAAGAGTTTGCTATGAGCGTTGGAAATGCAAACGATTTTCCTCCCTTCCATCTCTCTGAGCCACCAGGTAGCACAGGCCTAGTCGGGGTCACGCGGGGCTCAGGGAGTGCAGCTAGACTGTGTTTCTCAGGCCCTCAGTGCTGGGCATCATTCGGTGTGCTCTCCATGTGCCTTCCTCGGCCTGGTGTCCCTTCAGACCTTTCCCTAGTTTTAGTAGCCTTGTTTGTGTTCTTTGTCTCTTTGGAGACAAATCCTTTATCAGCTGTGCGTTTGCAAGTATTTGTGTGCCAGTGAGTGGTGTGTCCTTTGCTTTTTTTCATAAGGTCTTTACCAGAGCAGAAACCTTTGATTTTACACAATCCACAGTATTGCCTTTTTGTGCATTGCCTTTCTGTATTGTGTGTGAAGACTCAAAGGTCATGTCTAGCCTCTGCTTGATTTTCTTCTGGATTTGTGAGACGTTTGGCATGGAAAATATGTCTCAGAAAAATTTGAAGTGAATTTGGTGTAAGGTGTCAAGTTTCCATCCACATTCACATCATCCCCTCTGGTTTTCAATTCATCACTCCTGAACTCTTTTGGAGAACTTGTGGGAAGTTTGGTTGCATTTGTTTGAATTTCTGCCCTTTAGTAGATTCACCCAGTTCTGCCAACAGGGACACTGTGAAGGGTGAGTGAGGGGCAGCCTGCACTCCCGGCAGTGACCACAGGGTGGGAAGAATGCTGCTCTCCCTTCGGGAGCCACAGGCCACAGGCATCCCAGTGAGGAGCAGGCTGTGTGTGCAGCTAAAAGGAGTTAGTCTCTCAGGCGCCTGTGCGACGTTGCCTTTGGGTCACCCAGGGTGGGCGTTTACAGTGACAGGAACCATTGCACCGCAAGTGAAGTGAGAGCCGGTCTGAAATCCGCCATTGCTCCTAAAGAGATGCACCTGAGGCCCCTTGAGGGTCCTGCACAGAGCGCTCTTTGGTGGACATGCTGGGGACACTGCTGCCTCGTGGGCTGCCCAGGGCAGGCTGTCACCAGTCCAGACACGGACCACGGCGATGACCGTCACTGCTGTCTCCAAACGGTTTTCACTGGTGCGTGTCCTCATCTGAGCGGTCAGGCCATGTGCACTGCCTCCCCTTGCAACTTCTAGGCTAGGTCTCCTAGGCTAGAGCTCTCAGGTCTAACTTGTAGGTCTAGGCTACACTGGCCATGTGCATTGCCTCTCCTTGCAACTTCACCGCTTTCTTCCCTTCTTTACTGCACATTGATTTTCAAGAGTGTTTGGGCCACAAGGATGTTGGGTCTTTCTCTAGCCTTGTCTCATGAGGTTGAGACGGCGCTTCCCAGTTGTTGGCGTGCTCATTTTGCCCGCTTTCTTTCCTGGCTTCTCTTTGTGACTGTGCCTGAGGAAGAGCTCAGCATTTCCCTTCTGGCTGAGACGTCACGCAACAGTAATGCCTGCCTGGAGATTATTTGCCAAAAGGGTCTCATTTTGCAGATGACATCTTGAAATCACCTGCACTGCCCTTTCCGATACACAAAGGCTGCCTGAAAGGAAACAAAAAACGAGAATTCCCAAGTCTACTCTTAAAATACGTGCAGAGTCTAATAAAACCACCTTTTCTATGATTTTGTTCATCAGCATTGACGGGAGACATCCAGGATATGGGAAGACACTCAGATATAAGAGGATTAAAGGTTGTCAGGGGCAAGGGAGGAACAGGGAGTGCTTGAGGTGAATACAGGATTTGCTGGGGGCGGGGGTTGGGGTTCGGGAACTGAAAGGGTCCCAAGCTAGAGAGTGGTGCCGGCTGCACAGCATTGTGAAGGTCCTTAATGCTCCAGAAATGTACCACTGAACGCCAGTTTTACTGATTGACAATTAAAGGGGAAAAATACACAAATCTGTGAAGAACAGAATATAAATCAAGAAAATACAGAGAAAACGAATGAAAAGAAGCTCAGGAAAGGGAACTGAGTCTCCACTGGCTGGAGAGAGAGTTGATGGCGTCCACGGGGAGCAGACAGGGATGGAGGCTGCAGAACCAACCCCTCCGCTGGACACGGTGTTTCCAGAAATGGAAATGGAAAGGGCTCTGGGTCTCTGTCCAGAGCAGGGGCCTGTTCTCCCTGCAGGGGTGGGTCAGTCATCGTGGGCGTCTGGGTTTTGGGCGGTAGCCAGGGCAGGCTCTCCCTGCAGAGGCGGTGACTCATGCCCTGACTCAGGTTCTCCTGCCAAAGCGGGAGCAGTGGCAGGCGTAACTGCACATGTAGGTGGACCAGCAGCTTCTCCCTGGGGGATTGGAGAATTGGTGCCTGGGGCTGAGGTCTTGCAGGCACAGAGATCTGATCTTCCCCGTGTGCTGGCCAATACCCAGCTGGTCCAGTGTCTTTGGGAAGGCATGTCTCAGGTCTCAATCTCCCCTCAGTGGATCCCTGGGTCCTGCACGTGTGGCAACCAGCTCTGTATGAACAGGTCTTCGAAGCGGAGCCTGGTTGAACTTGGGGGCAGGTACTAGAGCTGTGAGAGAAGAAAAGATTACCCATGGCCAGCCTTGCCCTGTGCCTCTCTGGAGACAGAATTCTTCCCTGAACTTTCAAGACAGTTGAAGTCACAATAGGATGTCGTCTGTGACGCAGTCCACCAAGTGTGTGGTCTGAGGCCAGCCTTTGCTCCAGGCCCAGCCCCAGCTCTGGAGGACTCCCCCCTGTATGGCTCAGCTCCCCTCCCCACACGCACATTCCCAGCCCCAGCCTCCTCACCTCTGTGCTCTGCCGCGCTGGGCTCCAAGTCCGAGGCAGCAGTTCTCACAGCTCTGGGTTGGAGCCGGGTGTGCTGAGCCCCGTGGCAGGCTGAGACTGGGCCCCGAGGTGTGTCCCGGGTGGTGTCTGGGCAGCAGGCCTCCTCCGCTTCCTCTTCATTCCCAGTTGGGCAGAACCCTCCGTGGGCACGCTCACCTGGAGCCTGCACTTGGCCTCACGGGCAGGGGGTGGTGCTCCGACCCTTCTCTCGGGGAGGTGCTACTTCAGAAGAAATAAAAACAAGAATTCTCAAGTTTGGTCTTACAATATATGGGAAGTCAGAAAAATTCCCTGGAGAAGGGAAAAGCTACCCACTCCAGTATTGTGGCCTAGAGAATTCCATGGACTGTAAAATCCATGGGGTTGCAGAATCTAACAAGACTGAGCGACTACAACTTTCACATTCAGTCAGAAAAAAATCCAGTTTTCTATCATTTCAGTGATTGGCATTGATTGGAGACACCCAAAGGATGGGAAGAAGTGGAGAAAGAAGACGACTAGGTGTTGTCAGGGGCCAGGGTGAGGGAGGGAGGAACGGGGAGTGCTTGACATGAATCCAGGCTTTGCTGGGAAGTAGGGGGGATAGAATGAGAGGGTCTGAATGTAGACAGTGGTGATGGTTACACAGCATTGTGAAAGCCTTATTATTCCCTAATTGCATCAATTAAGGTACAATTTATTAACAAAAACTTAACAGAAAAAAATACATAAAGCTACCAAAAAAAATCACAAGAAAGCCAAACACAAACCAGATGACCAGAATCTCAGGTGAAGTGAACTGAATCTCCCCTGGGTGGGGAGCGAGGTGATGGCATCCACGGGGGGCAGACAGGGATCGCCGCTGCAGAGCCCACGGCTCCCCTGGACCTGGTGTTTCCGGAACGGGCTCTGGGTCTCTGTCCAGAACAGGGGCCCGTTCTCCCTGCAGCGGTGGGTCAGTCATCGTGGGCGTCTGGGTCTTGGGCAGGAGCCAGGGCAGGCTCTCCCTGCAGAGGTGGTAACTCATGCCGACTCGGGTTCTCCTGCCAAAGCCCGAGCAGGGGCAGGGGCAGGTGCAAGTGGAGGTGGGCAGTCGGTGCCTGGGGCTGGGGGTCCTGTAGGCACAGAGGTCCAATCTAACCAGTGTGGTGGCCAGTAACCAGCTGACCTGGTGTCTTTGGGGAAAGGCTCAGGTCTCGATCTCCTGTGAGTGGATCCCTGGGTCCTGCACATGTGTGTAGCAACCACCTCTGTGGGGACACATCTTGGAAGTGGAGCCTGGTTGTATTTGAAGGTCAGAACTAGAGCTGGGGGAGAAGAAAAGTTTGCCCACAGGCCAGCCTTGCCATGTGCCTAACTGGGCACTAAAGCTTCCCTGAGATTCCCAAAGACTACCCAGCATAGGAGACTTCTGTGCAGTCTACAAGATGGGTGGTCTGAGGCCGGCCTTTGCTCCAGGCCCAGCCCCAGCTCTGGGGGACTCCTCCCTGTGTAGCTCAGCACCCCTCCCCACAATCACATTCACAGCCCCAACCTCCTCACCTCTGTGCTCTGCCGTGCTGGGCTCCAGGTCCTCCTGCTGCCTCAGAGGCATCAGTTCTCAGGGCTCTGGGTGGGAGCTGGGTGTGCTGAGCCCCATGGCAGGCTGAGACTGGGCCCTGGGGTGTGTCCTGGGTGGTGTCTGGGCAGCAGGCCTTCCCCACTTCCCCTTCATTCCCACTTGGGCTGACCCCTCCGTGGGCATGCTCACCTGGACCCTGCACTGGGCCTCACGGGCAGGCGGGTGGGGCTCTGACCCTTCCACTGGGGAGGTGGATGGGGTGTCCCCCTCATCGGCCACATCCGGTGCGAAGCTCTGCAATGACAGTGACTGTCAGCCAGGCCTGCTTGGAGTTTTCTGAGCTGGGCCTGGCCAGTATGGCTGCTGCTTCTGCCCGCTCAACCTTCTGCTCCCAGAACGAGCAGAGACGAGTGTCTGGTCAGATAACACCCAGGAGGAAGAAGACCCCCCTGGGGGCGTGAGGCCAGCCTGGGCAGCCGGCGGTGCCTGGACTCTCCCCATCCCACCCAGCCTGCTCTCCCCTGGGGTACGGACACACCGACCCACAGGCTTCTGACCCCACATCCGCCTGGGCTTGCTGGAAGCCGACAGACCCCGAGAAACCCCCGTCTACACTCACAGGGAAAGGACTCAGGGTGATCCGGGTGGGAGGGAGAGGGGACCTGGCCCAGCCTGGGCCTCCCGTGTTACCTTTCTGTTCCTTCGGCCAAAGCCCCCCTCCTCGGGGGGCTCTGAGCCAGCCTCGACAGCGATCCCACACACTCTGCCTGTGAGCTCTGCTGAGGGCCCGGCCTCTGGGCAGGGGCAAACAGCAGGACATCGTGGCAACAAGTGATCTGGCCAGTGGCTCCTCTCCGATGTGGAGACCTGGAGACCTGGATACTAGCTGAACAGTATTGTTTCACAATGATCTATAGTCCTATCTGACTGAGTTGTTCTAAACCTTTTTGATATGTGTTGACAAAGCTTCTTAAGTCATTCTAATGAAGAAGATTTCTAGCCTAACTTTGGGATACTTCAGAGGGCCCCTGAAACATCCCAGAGAGAGGTATTACACTAATTAGGTTCATTTTGTATACAGAATTACATGGGAAGTATTGTCAAGTGAGTAATAAGTCTCCAGGTTATATTGTATGTATCTTCCTGACTCAGGGATCGAACCAGGGTCTCCCGAATTGTAGGCAGCCGCTTTACGGTCTGAGCTACCAGGGAAGCCCACTGTATGGTAATATGTTAGTAATATAGATACCCTAGAAACTGTGTGGAGTTCCTAAAATTTTTATGTGTTTGGGTAAAATGTTTTCAGGCATGATTCAGTTACTATCTCAAAATATTGTCATACACTAACCAAATTTCACAAAAATGCTTCCTCTTCAAGATTTATAAAAAGGACTTTTGGATAAATACCAGTTTCTGAACTGGGGAAAGATTCTAATGAAAAATCGGAGTTCACAAAGGTTAACAAAAGGACTGAATGAACTGGTGAATATGCTTATCACTTTTATGGTTTTTAGTTTTCCAGGTTTAAGAAAAACCTTCCCCTCAAACTAATTATGATGGTAATTTGGTAAAATTATATTTTATAAACAAATTGAAACATTTATCTTTTCTCTCTGTCTGAACTTCCAGAGATTGGAAACTCTTAGTTTCCAGTAATTTTATCAGATAAGTTAGGAAGGTTATTTCACTAACAGGTACACAAATCTGAAGGAACTTGCCGGAATCTGAGCCCTTGAGAAGGGAGGAATTCACTTAGATCTGTTAGGGAAAATCTGTGATAAACATTTGGCATGACTCCTAGCCCTGCAAGGTTTTATTTTAGAAGTTCAGTCTGAGACTTTTATAGTCTCAGCAAAGCAAAAAAGTCTATGATCAATTATGGTTGTATAAATCATCAGGCAAAGTTTATTGCGACCAGACCTATATTACAAACAAGTCTTAATTTGGTTATATTTGGTAAAAATGGTGGTGATTTTAGGGAGAAAAAGATGTTTCAATGAATGTTAAATCCAAATTTGTTAATGGAGGTCTGTATCTACTAAGACTCATTTCCTGGATAGTTCTTTGTTGTTAGGATATATTAATGTAAAATTATTTGCATTATTAAAGGACACTCTAGGGTTGTTTCTGAAGCTTATTTTAGTAATCTGTCTTTGGATGAAGATCAGATGCCTCACACATGACCTGCAATCAAGACTGAAAGAAGACATAATTTAAGGAACTTTCCAACCTGGATGGATGGACCTTTCTATCAGGTACTCTTACCTAGCTCATGCCCAGTGAAATTGAAGGGGAAATGACTCTTGGGTTAACTCCCACTTCCAAAGGCCCCTAAGCTGGACTGGTCTAAGAGAGAGGCCTGCTGACCTCAAACTCACCTTAAAACAATGCTCAAACGGAGGAAACTACACTACACTAGGACGAGAAGAAGCTGACATCAGAAGTAGACAGCTTGCCCAAGATGCTGATCTGACTTTTATGACCATTTGTAGTGTTCTCTTGATTCCTTGGACCTATGCCTATCAATCTTTTCTATCGTGGACACAATTCTCTGCTAGTTTAAAACTCAATCCAATTGTTTGATTGTGGCCAATTACCTATGTCTGGTACTTCTGGGTTTCCTTGGTGGATTTCTGTTCTCTAGGGATACCCACTAGGAAATTTATTTTAGATGAGAGTTCAGTCCTGTTCTATCTTCATGATATTACAAATGGAATTCTCTCACCTGGCCAATGAATAATATCTGCTCTGGGGATGCCAGCAATAGATATAAGTTTCCTCTTAGGATCATTTTAACTCAGTCGGAGTGATGAGCCAAGTCTCAATTTAAAAAATTAACCTATCAATGAAAAGGAAAATTCCCACAATTACGGGGTGGATCTACATGGTTAACACCAGGCTATGTTCATTTAAGTTTCAAAGCTCCTCTATGTTGGGAAGGGTTCAGTTCAGTTCAGTTCAGTCACTCAGTCGTGTCCGACTCTTTGCAAGCCCATGAATCGCAGCACATTAGGCCTCCCTGTCCATCACCAACTCCCGGAGTTTACTCAAACTCATGTCCATCGAGTCAGTGATGCCATCCTGCCATCTCATCTTATGTTGTGCCCTTCTTCTCCTGCCCCCAATCCCTCCCAGCATCAGGGTCTTTTCCAATGAGTCAACTCTTCACATGAGGTGGCCAAAGTACTGGAGTTTCAGCTTCAGCATCAGTCCTTCCAGTGAACACCCAGGACTGATCTCCTTTAGGATGGACTGGTTGGAGCTCCGTGCAGTCAAATCATACTAAAAATGATCAACTTGGTAATTATGAGACAAGGCTGGGCGCTTTATGAACTGTGTCTCTTACTACCCTTAGAGAGAGTGATTGGTATGGAACTCAGTGGATTTGTGGCACTAATTTATGGCCTTCACATCTACAGAGATGGATACAAAGGTGTAGCCTGGGATTACCATGAATTTTAGGTCATACATGTTAACGAAATAGAGGTAACCCTAACCAATCTACTATTGGTATGATCCCAGTGGGTCAAAGATCTGTATTGTACTGGTATGACCATTTAGCAGCTTGTGTGTATGTGTGTGTGTGTGTGTGTGTGTGTGTGTGTGTGTGTGTGCCTTCAATGGGGCTGGAGGATATCATTGACCATATCTAAGCCTTAACATCTTCCATAAGCTTTAAGTGAGAGTAACCGGCCTATTAGCCTATTGAATTCTGAGATCTCTATGATGAGAGAGGCAATGCTACAGTACAACTGCAAGGCCCTTGACACCTTAAAGCATCTCAGGGAGATATCTGTGCTGTAATGCAAACTGAATGCTATATTTTCATACCTGGTAAATCCTTTAATGTAACACATTTGAACCACGTGAAAAATCAGATTTCTGCTTTAAGTGACCCATTCCCTAATCTTCACGATCTTTTAAGAAAACTGGTGTGGGAGGCTTATGGCTGAAGTATTTACTTTTAATTCCATTAGTGTTATTAACTATACCATTTGTAATTTGCTTGTTTCACAAGATTATCATTTCATGTATTACCAAGTGTATGAACCTCCAATGAAAATGATGACTAGACTTGAAGCAGTTGATCAAATGTATAGCTCGATATATGATCAATGATTGTAATAGTGTAACTCTAGGTTTGAAAAGATGCAATGAGAGGGAATACTTTCCTGGACCATAGCTAGAAGACAGGTGTCCAGAGATCTTTGACTATTAAGACCTAGTCCAGTAATAGCACACTGAGTGTCTTATCAACAAAAACCTTCTTCATAACTGGGAACGAGCCTTCCCAGCAACGTAGAACAAAATGGTCATGAGATGCCCGCCAAAGTATGGTCGGATTTATGACCACTAGGGGGCCATGTCAACTACAAGTTGGCATGTACCAAGAGCATTGCCAATGACTGAACAACAAAGGCGTCTACAGAGATTGAACCCCATGCTGCTATAGCTGGTGACCTTCAACAACCCCTGAGAGAGTTCAGGCTGGAGTGAGGCACTCTCTGCTCCAGGGAATCTGGTGGGACAGGTCTTTAGATAGTTGGATGTTTTTAGGGACAGATTTTATGATCTCAATCCTTGCATCTCCTCATATCTAGAGAAACACTAAAGCCCTTCCTGGTGATATCAGACCCTCATGACAAACAAAAAGCCTTTTGTAAAATGAGTGCTCCATGGTATTGAACTCTCCCTTCCCCGAAACCTTATATATTGTCCTTCCCCCACTGCTGCTTGACAGCAGTTTCTCAGAGCTATCTGAGATGCTGCCTCCTCGGCTGCAGTCCTCATTTTACCCCAAATAAAACTTTTAACTCACAACTCTCAAGTTGTACATCTTTTTTTAGTCGACACGTGCCACTGTAAAAGTTACCCTGGGCTCCACAGAGGTGATGAGGGTCGGGGCCTGGGGTCCTGGGCACCTTTAGTCTACAGTGGCGAGTCCGAGGAGGCTGGGCAGAGCTGGGTCAGAGGACTCCTGCTCAGGACCAGGAGGGGATGTCCGGATCCCTAGAGGGACCCAATGTCCCTTT